GGCAAGGGGCTCCATAGAGCGAGGCCAAAAAAATCACATTAAATACTAAAAGATTGCTGAATTTTGTGGAAGACGGCAGAAGTTCATATGGACGGTATCATGTTTAGCTATTTTTCCCCTGTAAGTAATAATAATGTTAAAGGTATAAACTGGGTTGAAATTTAGTGTCTAAAATGCCGTTGGAAGGTGGGGAGGGGGGGGGGGGCAAGGGGCCCCGCGCTGATAATATGCCACGGGCCCTGCGGAACGTTAATCCGGCCCTGCGGTGTATATCACCCGTACCCGTAAACCGGGGTATCTTAACCTCTCTTATGATGTATTAAATCACGCTTGTCTTTAAAACTACATAAACGGCCAATGGGGCTTAAATAGTCGTATTAAAGAATAAAGAGATGGGGACATCAAAAGGTGGTTGTTGGTCGTATTAACAAGGTGGTCGTATAAACGAGGTCTTCAAAAATACTTAGGTGATGTTCGGGGAAATGAAAAGTGGTCGTATTATGATTTATCGGAGTGGTCGTATTAACGAGGTGGTCGTATGGCGGGCTTCCACTGTAGTCTAAAAGTAAAGGCTGTAAAGCTATCATCTAGTATATATTTTAATCAGCTATATTTACCGGTTCCAATACAATATCCGTCAGCTGCACAAGTTTCTGCACACCAGAAATTACATTGACTTGATCCTTCGCAGCATCGTTGCCCTGGCGTACATTCCGAATCAGATTTACAACCAGGGTTTGAACATCTAACACACTCGTTCTGCCGACAGCATCCCCTTACATTCGGGCAGTCTTCGTACGTTTCACAGTATTCGCCCTTTACTACCTCAACTGTTACATTGAGAAACGCCACATTTACAGTCAACACTAAAAACAACAATTTTGTCATGTTTAAAACACCGTACAAACGTATTTCGTCGAAATATAAACGATCTTACTTGTCATAGACATTTTTAAGCAACACTGATCGTGCAGACAAGCACGCTCTGCTTCGTGCGTTAATTGTTTAGCATTTATTTACACACTACGTCAATACAAGTAAAATGACGTAGACGTTTCGATCAATACAAGTAAAATACAAGTAAAATGACGTAGACGTTTCGACCAACAATGGACCTATTTACCTAATGAACAAAATTTTGATCTAGACAAGTCTAGACAAAAATTTTTACCACAGCTTGAAAAAGCATCACAAAATTAGTAATATTCCGACGTTTCGTTGGGAAATGTTGTAAAATGCGGATATAGCCCTGCAAAGTTTGCCGTTTTTCAGTCATTTTGTATTACGCACGGGAAATTGATACATTTTTTCAGGAAGCGGTATCAATTTCTCGTGCGCAATACAAAATGACTGGAAAACGATAAACTTCGTAGGGCTATATTATCCGCATTTTACAACATTTCGCAACGAAACTTCGGAATATTACTAATTTTGTGATGCTCTTTCAAAGCTGTGATGAAATTTTTGTCTAGACTTGTCTAGATCAAAATTTTGTTTATTTAATAGGTAATATAGGTTCAACGATGACGAATATCCGCCATTTTTGGGTGGCATCTAATTCTCGTTAACCAATGTAGACAATTGAAACAATGTGAAAATCAATTTTTCAAAATAAACTAACCATTTACAAAGCAAATTCACTATCAGTCGTCCAAAAATTTATAAAAAGTCGCTGTTATGTGGACTTATCTCGCAGACTTTGGCTGAAAAGCCACCCAAAAATGGCGGCGTGAGAATGCTAAATAAAACATGCACAACTTACTTTTAAATGCGATTTGAAGATTCCGTTTGCATAACGGTATGCCATCGTGGGTTTAGCCAAGAATTTTCGTGCGTTTTTTTCGCTTTACTTTATACACTGACTAAGTCAAAGTTGTGTTTGTTTGTTTTATTTATTTATTTATGTGATATTCATGTAATATTGTTTAATTCTGGACCTTAATTTTCTTCCAATAAATCAAGACATTGCCGACTCGAGATCGAAATAATACCGCACAGCATGTACAATCCACGCATGAGTTGGCTCATATTTAGTTAGTCAATCGTGGGGAATCCCAGAAAAAAACTATTCAACGTCATTATAACTCTGAATTGACGTACTTGATAAATACAGATATATGATACAGACAACGGACGTATGTAGACAGTGCTCTCTCGGATTTCATTTATTTCGAAGTAGTTGTGTTCTACAGAATTTAAAAGGGGCATGGAATTGTCGGTTTTGGTAGTTGTCATACGTGTATTGTTTTTGAACGAATCGAAATAACTAGAATAGTTGCTTGTGACAATTGCAGTTCAAACGAAGATTGTCATGAATTATTTGGCCCAACTTGTTGTCGTCGTATAACAGTGATCGAAACTGTTAAGGTTGAGTACTATAGTTTCATCGTCGTGTGATGGGCATTTCTGCGTCAAATAAGTGATCGCAGCGGTACAAGGGAGTGTTGTCGGTCGAATAAGTGTGAGCACTGCTTTGAATCCGAGTGTAAATCTAACTCAGAATATTGTGACAAGTTGTCCTATGAGGAAAATCATTGTATTATATACTAATGGAAGAACTTTAGTGTTGGTGCCCACCGCCGGCTCAAGGAGTGCTGTATTTCGGGAGTTTGCACAATTGCATTTACAAACAATGCCAGCAGTGCGACCAGTGGCGTGCTGGGTACTATTTTTCTGGGGGGGCCAGTGGACTGTCAACCAATATGCGCCCCTATAATATCACACTTGATAAACGAGGGCCGAAGGCACGAGCCGAGCGCCGAAGGTGCGAGGTTTGTCTAGGGGGGTCCGGGGGCATGCCCCCCGAAAGTTTTTGAATTTAGAGTCTCTGAAATGCCATTTCCTGGACTTTGGGGGACGATTTGACAGAAATCTGATGGTCAGGAAACAGCATTATAACGTGTCGAAATTTGCAATTTGTATTTAAATTATGCAATGCTAACCACTTCCAGCGATTAATCTAATCCCAATTCTATTCTCTACTGATCTAGTGATCTGAATACATTTACAACTTACAGCTCTTTTATACAATAATACATTGATCCACGCATATGCATTTTAAGGTTTCCTTGCCTGGCTGCCAAAAGGGCGCGTTTCAGCATTATTTCATTACTTACATTACTCATGATGTTTCTTGCCCAAACAACTAAATTGCGTACACAACTTTACATTATCATAACTTCAACTATCTAATTTGCGCCGCTCTCGTGAAGCGTAATAAAGTGCGTAATATAAGGGCATAATACCAGCAAAAAAGGGCATAATTCCCGTGATCGCTTCCAAACCTGATCATGACCAATATTTGGGTAATGAGACATTGCGTTTGATCACTGATCATGTTCCGATATAAATGAATTCGTGTGCGCCGTGAAGTAGCAAATTAGCAAATACGGCTTAATAGACAAAATAGTCTGTAATTTAATATATCACTTTGTCGTTTTCTTGGCGGAAGTAACTATATTTTTTCGAATGCGTTTTTTCCCACCCACTTTCAAAATTCGGCGCGGGATCGGCGCCCTCTTTTCATTTCT